GGGCACAGGACGGAGGGCTTTCCACGTGGGGTCTCCGGTTCTCCTTCACTCAGGGAGGGAGGCGGGATGAGGGCAGGTAAACGGACGGAGGGAGACGGAGATGAAGACGACATGCCTGGTACGTAGGTAAACCGCTGACAGGCAGGGAGACAGTACAGGACGTGCAGGTAGCTCAGGCGGTGGGCGGACGGAGACGTGAGTGAGTGTGCGCCTTTGCACACGCGCCCACACGCGGTGCTGCAGAACAGCTGTCCGCAGTGGAACTTCACAGTGGACGCGTCTGGCTGCTCACCAGCTCGAAGCAAAGGAAGTCCACTGGGAAAGGGACACGCCGTGACGCCGCCGCCTGACACGGCTCCGCCAGCCAGATCCGGCTCAGGAAAGAAAACCAGCCCAACCAGCCCAATTAAGAGCTAAGCGGCTCCTTCCAACAGCCTCCAAGCCCGCCCACTGCTGGGGTCAGCTGGGTGGCACGGCTCTTCCCAGTAGAAAGGCCATTCGGGGACACGTCCCCATCCGAGGTCCTTACGGGCTGCGGACTGGGGCCTGGAGCTGCAGTCCTTCCCGCACCGGCTGGGGGTGGGGGCACGTGGACCCCCTGGGCCCCCCCCTCTGCGGGGTACAGGCTGCAGGATGGGACCCCCTGCATCCACCCTCTGCCGCACCAGCCCACTGACCCGGAGTGTGGGCCTCCATCTGCACCCTGCCGCCCACGGGGGCCTCCTGGGCCGGGGGTGAGGACAAAGTCCTCTGCTGCCACGCCCTACTGACTAAGAGGCTATTTTTATAAGACGGTGTGTGTGAAAGCCGGAGCTACCCAAGACGCTGGCCACAGGGTGTCCCGACCCAGGGCTGCCGCAGGACTGTCCCCAAGTTCAGCCTCTATCCTGCTACCACCACGGCAGGTGCAGAACCGCCCTGGCTGGTCACTCCCCTGTGCAAACGTGCAGCACACAGGACCCCCCCCCATCTGCCCGCCCCTCACTCCCAACGAGGCCTCCTCCCTTTGCATCCCTGGTGTCTCTGGCCTGGGCCAAAGCTGCCCCCTGCTTTGCCGCGCGACCCCACCCGGTCCTCATTACAAGAGCCAAGCAGTCAACCAGACTCCTTGCTGGTTGTGGCTAAAACATGAGTTCCAGGTCACGGCAGTGACCGATTAGCAGCCAACTCGGAGGCGGCCCTGGCTGGACTGAGCCCTCTGGTTGGTTCAAGGCTGCACCTGATTGCTAAGCAGGCTGAAGCAAGGACAAGACTTGAACTCCAGGCTCAGTGGGCCCAACCCCACGGCACAGGGCAGCCTGCGGGCACCAGCCCGAAGCTCCAGGCCGGTCTACCTGTACTGCTGACACACAGGCAGTGTGGGGTGATGAGACGCCCCCACTTGATGGTGACCCCCATAGCTACCGTGTGTGCTCCTGGGAGAGACCCAGAGGCGGAGCTAACACAAAGCTATAAAACACACTTGCTACTGGAATTTTCTGGGTCACTTCAGACACAAGCTGTGTGTATTCCAGACTTTTTGGGTGGTTCGAGGAAACTATAAATTCATCTATTAGCCTTGTGATCAATAACCCACCCCTGCCCCTTGGCGGAGGCTCCTGATGATCCCAAAGCCTCACACAGGCTTTCTCCGAGTTAAGAGGCCCCCAGTATGGGGTTTCTTTGGCGGATGAGTGAAAGTGTCCTGTGCTGGCTGTGACCGAGGCACACCCCTGCGGGTACACGAGGAGCCCCCAAACTGCACGCTTTAAGCAGGCGAACCGCACAGTGTGTAAGGGCCCTCTCAGTAACGCGGTGGCACATGGAAAGACGAAGGACTCCAGGGGACCCTCGTCCATACCAGCTCCTCCCATGCTGAGGACGAGGAGGGCCGCACGGTCCATCGCATCAGCGCCCTGTAAAGTGACCGGTCCGAAGGTGAGGTGGGGGCTCCTGACGGAGAGCGAAGCCAGCCTGAGGCCTCCCCCTGGCCCAAACGGGACCTGCTATTAAAATAAGGGACAGGAAGGGCGCCTGGGTGGCTTAGTCGGTTAAGCGTCCAACTTTCGCTCAGGTCACGATCTCGCGGTTCGTGGGTTCGAGCCCCGCGTCGGGCTCTGTGCTGACTGCCAGCTCAGAGCCTGGAGCCTGTTTCAGAGTCTGTGACTCCCTCTCTCTCTGACCCTCCCCTGCTCACGCTGTCTCTCTCTCTCTCCAAGAAATAAATAAAAAACATTTAAAAAAAATAAAAATAAAAAAGAAAATAAAATAAGGGACAGGAACAGATTATAACCCACCAGATAACACAAGAAACCATGAGCCACCGACGTGTGTCAATCAGTGAGTAAATGAAGTCTGATGAGAAACTAGGTATTGGGGCTGCGGAGCCCCTCACCACACACACCATCAACCACCAAGGGAGGGGGCCACGTTCACAGGGGCCTCCTCACAGGGCAGGTGGAAAGCCGAGGCCCGGGCAGGACAGGGCAGAACGAGCAGCGCTTCTGATTCCTGCCGAGGAGAGTCACGAGTCTAGACACGAGGGACTGCGCTCGCCCAACGGCACACACGTGGGAACATCGGGCGGGGTCACGTGCAGTCGGGCGGATGTTCACACACACGCGAGGGCTCGCCCTCCCCCGGCCCCGGCCCGCGCTCGAGGAACAAGTGGGTCCGCGCAGTCGCTCCCGCGCATCTGCAGGGGCCCCGGAGGTCAGGAGGGCTTCCCCGCCCCGTACAGACCGGAAACGGAAGTGCGGGGGCGGCATCCTCCGCTTCTGGAAAGTTCCCGTTACATGCTTCGCTTCTAGGGAAGACCCGCGTCAGGACCGCCCTTGGCTACCGAAGCTACGCTGGGTGTCTCTGCTTTTGGGGGAAAAACGACAACCAGCGAGAGGAGCGCCCCGCAGGGCTCTGCAGTGAGCGAGGCCTCCGTCCCCGGGGCCTGCACGTGGCGCCGCGGCCCCC